GAGGAGGAGGCTGCCTTGGATGTAGCTGCCACCAGCCTCACCCAGCAAAGCCCCAGTGTAGCGACCCGTGGAAATCCCGGACGTCCAAGCTTTTTGGAACATTGTCACGAGTGGCTATTGTTATCAGTTCCCAGTGTCCTATGGACATGTCTACAGGCCATGCTGGCTTTGTGCCAAGTACTTACTGCTGAGTTGTTGCATGGATTAATACACAGACGAGCAAAGCCAGACGTACAGCTTTCAGCCCCATCTATGCATGCAATGCTTTCATTTGGTTGTCTTTAGAGAGAACTCGGTGTTAAATACCACAAAAGCAGAAGAGGGGCTGATTAGATACACCAGGAAATCATGGCCAGTATTGTCTTATCAGGACACGTTCATAGTGTTCGTGCGTGCGTGCGTGCGTGCGTGCGTGCGTGCGTGTGTGTCTGTGTGTGTCTGTCTGTTGTTTACTCTGTGTGGAAGGAAGAACACTGCTCTGCAAATTGACATATTAGGTAGAATTGGACCCACCGGGTGAAAAGAAGAAATGAGACAGCTCCTGTGCTCTTGGTAGGCCAAACTGGAGCTCCAGGCACTTTGGCTTCCACTTTGGGGGTCTGGCAGCTTTAGTAACATCAAGCAAATAGCCCGTGAACTCCATCGATTGTTAGCCCCCGATTTAAACCCAAGGCCATCTGGTTCTGAAGCCGCTCCCCCCAGGCTGCCTCCAGCAGGACAAGTGGTCAAGGCAGGAAACCAGTGGCCCTTGGTGACAGCCCCACTGCCCAGAGCAACAGACTGTGGTCAGAATCTGCAGCAACCACAAGAGGCCTGTTCTTCCTTCCCTCTTCCATGCTGGGAGTGTGGGTTCCTGTCCTCCAGCAGATAGACCTGGTGAAATTGCACATTTGTTGTGCAGAGTTCTTTAAAGCGAGAAATCACTCAAAGGCCAAATGAGATTGCCAACCAGGGGTGTTGTCTGAAAATAGGGCCTTAGGGTCTTGGCTGCTCTGCTTATCCTGCAGAGAGGAGGAAGACACAGCTTTGAGACAGAGCAAATGCACAGATTTTGGGGGATCAGAGTCTATCCCCTCACCCGGCCTTTCTAATGATTCAATTTGGCCTATTGAATCTTGTGAGACTCCCTTGAGTTCATCAATTTGGTGTCCTTCTTAATAGGAAAGAAAAATAGGGATCACTTTATGGCTAAAAGACTTGCTCTTTTAAAGCCAGGTCTAGTTAAAGATGAACAACTCGAAGGGCATGACTGCTTTCTGGCCCTTAGTGCTACAATGTCTGAGGTTGTCGGTTGTTTCAGTGGAGGTCAGCGAAGGCCAAACAAAGCAGGGGAGGCCAAGCTGCTCCAAGGAGGATTTAGATCTCAATATGTTAAAGAGAGCCATTTCTGTGCTGACCTGCTCTTTGGCCAGCAACTCCTTTTGGTTACATGGTCTAGAAAATATTTTAAAATGTGAAGACTTGGCATAGGGATACCTTTGCATGCTTCTCCTTGGTCCGCCTCACAGTCACTCTCCCGAGAAGGGTTCCTTAGGATGTGCCTTCTGCACCTCTGTAACTGGGGTCCAGCACGTCCCTGGCGGTCCTAACAGGCTCATTAAGCTAACGAGCAAGTGAGTACAGAAAACGACTGCTCTTTTTGGCAGCGCATCCCACTATTAGAGCGCAGGCAGATGGAGCAGACCTGTTTGGTTTTTAATTCAGTTCCAAGAAATTGTCCAAGTCCGAGAAGATGAAGATGTAAGGGTCCACCCTGGCTTCAGGCTCTGAGGGAAGTGGTCTTCACTCCACTCTGGGAACTGTCTTTTTGAGTGGTCCTTGGCCTCACGGTGGGTCACAGGCCACCAATGGAGAGGTCTCGGCTGGATCCTGTTGGCTCAGTGAACCCAAACTTCCATTCTAGACTTCCCTGGTTGGACTTCCAGGTTCACAGCCTGGTGCTGGAATCAAGTGCTGCTGGCCTCAGAGACCCGTGGCTGCTTTCCTGACATGCACACAGTGACACCCCTGTAACTTGCAAGTCAGATTTATCAAGATCAAAAAAAAAAATCTTGCTCTGCTCAAATGACCCAGACTCTTGGAGGTGTGATTCTCTATACAGTATAAACTCGGTTACAGTTTTGACTGCAAGGATGCAAGAGAAAGCATCTAGACAGTTTCATGGTGGCCCTGTCCTATTAACCCCAGCTCCTCAGCTCTTTCCTTAGTCCCCAGCTCTTGTCTTTCCTTTTCATTACTCTGTCATGGCACAAGGACAATTGGGATGACTGAAGAAGTCTTTGGTTTGCATACAGGCCGGTGCTCCATGGCTGCACCATTTTGCTGCTTTGCCCATGGAACGATGGTTTTGAACAAATCTGTTTTACCACTAGCAAGCTCTGCAGACCCAAGCATGATACAGCCCATTGCTGTACAATCTTCTGGATCATTTAAAATAATTCTTTCTGTATGGTCTCTTTGTTCGTATGGTTTTCATGTAATGGATTTATTTTGTCTTTATTTTATGCATGAGTGTTTTGCTTGCTTGCGTGTCTGGGCAGGTGGCTTGTGCCTGGTGTCCACAGAAGATGGAAGAGGGTGTCAGATCCCCTAGAACTAGGGCTGTCGACAGTTGAGAATCATAATGTGGGTGCTGGGATTAGAACCTGGGTCCTCTGGAAGAGAAGCCAATGCTCTTAACCACTGAGCCATCTCTCCAGGCCCGACCTAGTGGATTTTTTATTCTGGCATTTCGAAGGTGTTTTTTTTTTTTTTTTTTGTTCTATTTTAATAGCCCAGTGGGTTGGGTTGAGCTTTTAAAACCTCACACTGCAGTTATATGTATACCATTAGAAATTTCAAACATGAGCAACAGTGAAGAGAATAAGTATGGGGCAGAGAACAAGGATCAGAACAAGGCTGGTTCACTCAGCTTTGTTGGAACAACCAACAGCAAAGTGATGGACCAGCATGCCTGTCAGGCCCCTGAGGGCTGCCTGGAAGGGGTGGAATTCCTTCAGGACCAGAGTCAGAAGCCAGCCCAAATGCTCAATCTTGGTGGTCTTCTGAGCTGGCTGCCCCTGAGTCCCAGGCCGTGTGGATTCTGTGTTGCCTATAGTGAGATCCCAGGGGAGACTGAAGAAGGACCAGGAGGTTAGACCCTGTGGCTGTCTAAGCACCTGGTACCCAAGGAAACAGTCTGAGTTCGGCCCCATTCAGACATGAATATGGCCCCTGATTTAGGATGGTTGACTTCAGTGGGGTTTCACCTTCGAAACTGATCTTCACTCAGTGGAAGCCAGCCTCAACTTGAGAGCGCTGATATTTTTCTGGGTTAACCACATGTGATGGGTGGTCCCATCCTCTCTCAGCAGCCACTGAGAAGCAGTAGCCAGTGCAGTTCCCAGTCAGCTCTATATCCAACATTCTGTACTGCAGGGTGCTGTGTGGCCGCTGTGGTGGGGCACATGGGAGACGGGAACGGAGTCCAAACACCTTTCTGCCTGTGATGGACTTGCCGGTGTATGGCCTGCAGAATCAGGGAGCCTGTGTACTTTTCAACACAGAGCCATTAAGGGTGAGAAACCAGGACCCAATGCAGAAGACTGCCTTCTATATCGGCCTGTTTGTCCCTCACGGAGTGCTTAGAACACAGCAGGACCAAGGCACTGTTGCAGAACTAAAGAATGAATGATTGGCTTGCTCTTCATGGTAACAAAGAGACTTCACTCAGGCCCAGCTGATCAATTCATGAGCTTTCATGAAACACCCATTAATGTGGCCAAGACTTACCACATCTACCCCGAGGGCAGGCTGGGTTTTTGAAAGAACTATCTGCGGGTTCTTTTAATGAAAACCAAACATCATAAATCGTGCCAAGACTCACAAGCGACAGCCCCGGGGAAGAGAGGCTTCCTTTCTAATTACCTGCAGCGAGTGAGCTAGCAAGGTTGGCTGTGGGTCCAAGTACAGACAGATGTGTAAGTAGTATCAGTCATCGCAACAAACCCCATGCTGCCACAGTGTGTCTTCCCGTGTTCTGCAAGCCATGGGGGACAACAGGGAAACCTTCACACCAACCTGCACCCCCAGGGTCTGGTATGCAACTTTCAGAAGAGTTAAATATCAGATATTGCTTTGAATTGTTATTTCTTTTGCCCCCACTGAGAACAAAACTTGCATGCCCAAATTACTTTTGTTTGCACAGCTCTGAATCTCATGGAGGACTTTGATCACACTCCTGACACCGTGTGGAAGGATGCCTGCCGATACCATTATGCCTGCTTTTCTGGCTGGCACTGTTATTGATTCTTGCCAGCAGGAGCTACAGCAGGCTCGGGATGTTGCTTTAGGAAGCAAAACTTCATGTGATGTTTGGTTATTAAGAACCACTGCTGTGTGGGTCACCTGTGCTGGGCTTGGCTACTTCGTCCCTCTGAAGACATCACGGTGGAGTACATATTTTATTTTGATAACCCTTGAACATCCAGTGAGATGGCCAAGTTCATTGATAGCTTAAAATGTTATTTTTCAAAAATCCCCAAGTGGTGTCATAAGCACTACATTAAAAAATGAGAACAATTCTCCAAGTGTTGCACTTAATACGGTCTCTCTGTGTGACATTTTTTGCCAACTAGGCTTGAATAAATGGGAGGGAAAAAAGACGGCAACACTAAGGGATTGTATCTGAAAACTCCACAGAGAGGTGGTTGTCATCCAGGGGTGGGGGAGGTAGCTTCCCTCAGGCCACATCTGGATGAGTTGTAATAGACCCACAAACCTCTGCCACAGGCGGCTGGAATTGGCACTGGTAGCCATCCAGGAAGCACAAACAAAAATGTTTGCATGCATTTGGGGGGGGGGACACAGAGGGAGTCAACCCAAGGAAAGCACTATGCAAGATAGCTTTTGTTAACCTTGTCAGTATCATTATTCTGCCTGGAGCCCCTTGCAGGTGGGGTCTGTGATGATCTAGTTCCCTGAATCTGGGGAGCAGAGTGACTCTCCACCCTGGGTGTGAGCCACACTTGTCAGTTTCTGGGTTGGAGATCCCATTACTCTAACACCTGCTATTAGCACACGTACCGGTGTGTGGTGTCCAGGCATAGAATCCTCTGGAACTAGAACCTCCCTGTGTGGTGCTTTACGAGACATTACTGGGCACCAAAATATATATCTCTAGTAGGGAGTTCACAGAATTCGGACCAGAAGTTCTAGATGGGGGGGGTTCTCAACCTGTGCATCTTGACCCCTTTTGGGGTCAAACAATCCTTCCACAGGGGTCACCTAAGACCATCGGGAAACGCAAATCATAACATTATGATTCATAACACTAGCAAAATTACAGTTATGAAGTACCAATGAAATATTTTTATGGCTGGGGGGGGTCACTACAACTTAAGAAACTCTATTAAAGGGTTGCAGCCTTAGGAAGGTTGAGAACCACAACTCTAGACTAAAGGTGTCTGAGAGATGACATCAGACTGTGGAGAAAGACCTGGCTGAGACTTGGGGTCCTGAGTTAGGCCCTGCTGCTTGGGCCCAGGTTTGTGACCACATTCCAGTTTGGTTTTCTTGAGCACGCATGGAAACTCGGCTTCCCTTTCTCCAAGGGGCCCAAGAACTGACAAAAAATGATATGAGCTTGGAGGAAAATGACCAAGTTCCAAATAAAAAATTGCATTTGTCACCCTGAAAATTTGTGAGAGATGTAGTGGGTGGTGTAACCATGGTTAAATATTTCTTTTCCAACATGTGGTGCCTCAAGAGGGTTCTCTATGGGGTAGCTGGATCTTCTAAAGCCCCAAGAGAGGGTAAATGGCTTGTTAGTGACTTTAATTAACTAACAGGCATCCTATCCTCCCTGAGGGCTTTCTTTAAAAACGTTAGAAGAAGGATTTGATGACATAAAACCCCATGAAAATACCATGCCAGCAACATCTCTGGGATGGATCTCTGTGGCTCATCTGGGAGGCTTTTAAAATGTCTAGAAATATATCCACTCTTAATAGGAACATGGGGCAGTTGGAGGGCACAGTGACCTCTACTAAGTGAGAGATGGAATAGCCCATTAGAAAACAAGAGAGCTTGAAGGATTTAGATCGCGTACCTAAAGAGTGGCCCAAACATGGCTCCCAACTTCTAAGCAATTGGCCGACTTCATTTTTGAGTTGCTAAGTGACAGTCAGTGACAGACAGACTCTGAGATTTTAGACCCGTCCTTAGCCCCATGAACTTTCAGGTCTCATGGCTCCCAGCTTCCTCCATAGCACAGAGCTTCAAACTGGCCTTGCTCTCCCTCCAGTCACAACGTGGGTCATAGCCAATATGGCAGCCAGAAGCCACCTGTGGTAATAGAAATTTAAATTAATTGTAGAAATCAGTTCCTACTTTCACAGGTCTTCACAAAGGCCTGCAAAAGTGACAGTCAGACTAGATTAGTGGCCACTCCATTTCAGTGATTTTAAAAACATTTGTAAGGTTTATTTTTCCAAATGAAGTCATAGTCTGAGGTATTGCGTACCAGGGATTAGGACTATAAAGTATCTTTTTTTTTTCCCTTTGCAGGGGGAAGAGACACAAATTCAACACATAAGTGCCCCTCAAATGATCCACTCTACTGTGTGCACTGAAGTGTATGCCTGAGCCCTTCATCATGTCCATTTACTTGGGACACAGGATTTGTTTGGTTTATGGAAACTTCCAGGGGAAGCAGGAGGTTAGGACCGTGCAGCATATGAACTCTGGGAGCGCACTGTTCAGTCTGTAGTGGAGGCATTTGGACACTCGGACTACGGAAGGAGGGACTTACTCTGTCACATCTCAGCTGTGTGACTTTGATCATGTCCTTGGACTAGTCTGGCTTGCGGAAGGTGCTCCTATTGACCTCAAAGAAGAGAGACATGGCTTTGTGATTAGCAAGGTGCTCCGCCCATGGAAAAAAAATGCAACATGCCTTGCATCATTTTTGAATGTGAACTTAGATGACAGCAATGTGGAAATGGGGTGAAATCACCAGAAAAACAGATTTGTTGCTGCAATAACATTTCTTTCAAGAAAACCTGGTCCCTAGAGGTGGGCCTGGTTGCTGACATTTGAATACCTCCACATTTCCAAGGAACAGAGTTCTTTTTCCCTGCGTGACTAGAAGCTTAAAACATTACCCTCTAATGAACACCAGATGGTAGATCTGGAATGCCTGGCCTGCAAGCCTGGCCTGGATGCCCCTTAGCTTGCTTCACTTATACAGTACCTGGGCCAACAACTCAGCAGACTGAACAGGAGAGAGAAGCCTAGGGTTTAACCACCCTATATCACAAAGTACCTGTGGCTGCCAGGCGATGCCAATGACATTCTCAGCCTGTGATGTCACAGACAAATCTTTTAGCAGAAATGGTTGATGGGCCACTGAGAAGCCAATGCTTTGGCCTGCACTGTGTCCATTCCCTTACTTGTTTCACATCCTGCTTTCTAGAAATATCTAAAGATGTCATATCCCTATTTTTTACTTTTTCCTGTGGATCCCTTACTTGTTTCACATCCTGCTTTCTAGAAATATCTAAAGATGTCATTTTACCTCCATTTACACCTCCTCTATCAAGGCCACACCTCCTAATCCTTCCCAACCAGTTCTACCAACTGGCAACCAAGTATTCCAACTATTCATTCTATGGGGGACTTTCTCATTCAAAGAACCACAGTAGCTTTGTAAGATCGTGTCCTTGTGGCCTATTTTTTACTTTTTCCTGTGGAAAAAAAAAACCCACCATGCTTGAAATGCACCATTCTGTCATGCTATGGTATAATTTTATGTATCGTGCTTAAGAAGAACATCTAGCCACTTGGGAGTATGGCAGAGGCTACACATAATGTAGAAATCCATGGGGTCGACATGGTGATTGACAAGGATCCCAAGCAAAGGCCTAGGCTTCAGGTCTTGGGCCAGGGTCTGAGCTTTAGGCAGGTCCCATGGGGAAGACCTTCAGTTTCCTCCTCTATGAATAAGGTGGGTATATTAGTTTACCGGGATGATGCCCTGGTCTGTCCATTACATTTCTGTAGCCGTGATACAGCACAACCAGAAGCAACTGGGGTTCACAGAAGAAGGGGTTCATTTGTACTGATAACTCCAGAGGGAAGGGTCCATCATGAAGAGACTGGCAGCACTTGGCCATAGTAGGAAGCTTAGAGATCACTTTTCCATCCATAGGCAGATCACAGGGAAGAACAAACAGGAAGTGGGGAGAGGTTATGGACTCTTTTTTTTTTTTTTTTTTTTTGAGGTTATGGACTCTTAAAGCCCACCTCCAGTGACATATTTCCTCTAGCAAGGTTGTATCTTCCCGTAACCTCCCCAAACATTTCCACAATCTAGGAACCAAATGTTCAAATACATGAGCCTGTGGGGGACAGTTCTGATTCAAACCACTGTAACTGTTTAGAGTAATAATGTTTTCTTTGGGTGGAATTAAGTGCAAGTAAAAGCTGAAGCATTGAAGCTGCCCTGGCTAAAGTGAAAGCTGGGGAAATTAGGCGTCCTGTTGTCCCTACCTCTACCCAGGGAGTCCTGAGCCATGGCTGTGAAGCACAATATAAAAGAGTTGAGACAGCTCACTTGAAGATCTTGTTATCAGCACCAAAGATTGTGCTTCTTAATGTCCACTCATCAACAGAGCTCTCCTCTAATTATGCTTCTTCATGAAACATCACCCGGTTAACATTCTTCTGAAATAGAGAGGAACAATAAAGTTGCACTGCCCATTCAGGAAAACAATGCTTATCGTGGTAAAACAGTCTATTGTACTGTGGGGGATGGCGTTTTCCAAAGACATTTGCAGTAATTCCTTCTGACACACATGCTGTCTTTTGCCACCCTCCAGTGTCAAAGAGAGTGCATGTCCCACCACGGCCTACTTACAGGAAGCTTGGCTATTCATTTCTGGTATCTACAGACCCTCCCTCCCATTTTTGAAAGATAACTCAATGGGAGAGTTTAGGGGTTTCAAAGAGGATGAATCTCCCCGGCTGTCACTGTCTCCTTGAATTGCAAGGCTAGTCTTAGTGACAACTGGTCACCAATGCCATACTCTTACTTGCTTGGGTATCTTCTACCAGACTCTTTAAAGCAATCAAGTCATTAGACATAGATTTGTAACATTCCCTGCCTGTGTTATGGCAGAAATGGGGGAATGCAGTAATGTACGACTAGTCAGAATCACTCTGCAGCTACCGGTGTAAGACCCTGTTTTCAGACTAGAGCAGTGACTCCAGGGGAGCTGTCTCTAAGTGAGAGGCTAGCTTGGGGAGTGAGTGGAGAGAGAACATGACAAAGAAGGGGATGATACACAGCCATCAGTGTAGATATGAATATTACATTCTGGCCACCAGGCCCTATGGCTCAGGGATCTTAATTTACTGGTTCCTACTGTGGGAAGGGCTTCCTCTCCTCATTCTCTTTAAAACTAGCATATGTTAATTGCATGAAGCAACGGGATTCATGGTGGTATCTTCATCCATGTATATAATATATTTTGCTCACTGTCTCTCATGGTCACCACCTTAGTTATTTTTCTGTTGCTGAGATAAGGCATCATGGCCAAGGGGGATTATAAAAGAAATCGTTTATTTGTGACTTACAATTTCAGAGGGCTAGAGTCCTTGACCATCATGGTGGGCAACATGGTAGCAGGGTCTCTGAGTGCTTGTACCCTGATCCACAAGCATGAGTCCCAGAGAGAGACTAGGATTGACATGGGCTTTTAAAACAAAGCCTGCTCTAGTAACACACCTCCTCTATCAAGGCCACACCTCCTAATCCTTCCCAACCAGTTCTACCAACTGGCAACCAAGTATTCAAACTCATGAGTCTATGGGGGACTTTCTCATTCAAAGAACCACAGTAGCTTTGTAAGATCGTGTCCTTGTGGCCTCTCCTCCCAACAGGGGAGGGTGGTGCTATGGACTTGGAACACAGGACTGCACCACTCCAAGGCCTTTCCTGGAAGTACAGAAGGATAGGTTTATTTTCTGGTATGCTCTGGGGTGAATTAGAAAGAGGTGGCCTGGTCCTGGCTGATGGAGATGATGATCCACAGAGCTTCGAGCCTCTGACCCACCACAGGAGATGAACTTACGAGGGGGCGGGTCACGTGCTTCCCGCTCATCATCAGCAGCAGCTGCAGCTGCACTTAGAAACCGAAGCTCCGTGAGAGTAAAGAATGCAGGGGGAAAGCAATGCCCAGGGCCCAGTGAGCAGCAGGGACAGCTGCCGCCAGCATGGCTCACTGGGGTAGATTGGAAAAGCAGCCAGCATCAAATGTACCACCCAGAAGCGGGTGCTGTGGAGTTTTGGAGCAGGCACTGGGTTTGCCAAAAAAGAAATGCTCATGGCATTGGTTCCATAAATGCCTCGTTAAAACAATGTCGAGTTGATAGCAAGCCTGTGGCCCTGGCTTTAGTTCAATCACAAAGGTGCACACACACGGGCATGGAGTCATACCTACCAGCTTTTGGAAAGCGACCCTGGCTAATGCTTCAAGGCTTGTGATGTCAGCTCGAAGGAATTAGAGTTTCCCTGCTCAGAATTATATAACTAATTACAGCCAGTTTCAGTAACAATTATTAATCAGCCCAAACACAGCTTGGTGGATGGTTTTCGTGGACTAATCAGGTTCAAATTAGTTTCGCTAATGATCTTAGACGGTCCGTGCCCTGAGGCCAGGCAAACTTCATGGGGTGTGATCATACCCTGTGTTAGTATCAAGGGACGGAGGGTGTCCTGACAGGCTGTGAGGTTAACGTGGTGAGCTCAGAGTCCTGGCCATTCAGTATTCACAGGACTATTGTCAATCGGCCAGTGTTACCCAACACTGACTAACAGCCACCTTGGTTCTTGGGGATTAGCACTTGGGTCAAATGTGGAGTGATTATGGGAATCAGGTGTCTTGTCCCCACCCTGTTAGATGTGTTGGAGCCTGAATTTTGGAAGGATGTGAAGTGGACATCCATTGTTCTTTAACTGTGCCTAACTTTGATGTCCTTTCTGTGTCCCTCTGCATTGGATGATCAGTTTTCCAAGAACAGGGATGGAATTTTAGTCACCTCTCCATGAAATTTAAAGGTACCTTACATGTGATGCCACAGGGTTCTCATGTGTATCTGCCATCTGACTTTTCTGGAGCACAGTTAGATGCCCAGAGTGATCAGGTGTACTACCGGTCAGAGAGTAGGGCATGGCTGGGCTAGATGAGTTGGTTTGGAAAGCCTGTTTATAGCCTTTACTGGCTACTCCCAGCTGATGCTTGCTAATTTAGCTCTTCTTTGTCTGGCCTCCCTGTGGAGATGTAGAGGCTGGAAGAACCCAAGGCTGGCCCATGGGGTGGACAGCCAGTCAGGCTCTGCTGCTGCTCTGAGCCTCTCCTCACCCTCCCCACTCTCTTCCATGTAGAGCAGAGGCCACTGTTGGGTGGCAGTCTCTGGTCCCTGATTGGCTTCACTTCCACCTTCCCATGCTAGGCTCCAAGGCTCAGGGTCTACCCTACCATCTGCCACACTGATTGTTTTCTCCTTGAAGTCTCTCCAACGTTGGCATTTGCCAATGCTGGCAAATGAACAACCCTCTGTCAAGGACAAGTTTCCCACAGTGGCAAAGTAATCATGCCCAGGTCTACCCTACCATCTGCCACACTGATTGTTTTCTCCTTGAAGTCTCTCTAACGTTGGCATTTGCCAATGCTGGCAAATGAACAACCCTCTGCCAAGGACCAGTTTCCCACAGTGGCAAAGTAATCATGCCCGACATGCAGGTGTTTTGTAAATAAGTACAAAAAGAACAGTTTCTGTAAAAAAAAAAAAAAGGAGGGGCTATTATTTTAATAACACTAATCTTTTGTTTCACTTCAGAAGTTTTATCTTTCCACAGAGCTAGTATGTCCAGAAGTACATCTGGGGGCAGGACTGAGAGTCTTCAACCCATGGCATGAGGAGGCTGGCACCAAGTCTCCATGGAATGTTCCTGAACTGCTTGGCCTTTCATCTGCAGCTCCCGTTAATGCTACATAGCACAGCACCTCAGGTTCAGAGTTGTTCTAAGAATTCCCCCCAAAATAGGAGTATCTGCTGGTGTTCACCAAACTGCCATAGGTGTTTCTGAGAGAGAGGCTGTCAATGGGACGAGGCTTGCTGAGCACAAGGGTCTGGTTTCCATCCTGCACTGGGGTTTGAGAAGCACTGCAGGTGACTCTGGGCTCATCATCTCTCCCTAACCTGTGTGCACATGCGCCTTGTCAGGGGAAAGTTTTGTGCAGTCAGATTCTGGTACCTAACAAAGGATGGGAAGAAGTCGGGGTCCTAGTTTTCTAGGCTGAGCAGTAGCTGGTGGGACTTGAGAAATGCAGGTGTGTATTCCCTAAGTGCTGCCTATGCGAGAGTGACTTCAGGAGGGTCCCACACTTGACAATTATTTATTGAACAGTTGTTTTACTCCACTGTTCTAGGTGCTGGATTCGAAAGAAATCTGACAC